TCCAAAATAGATCACTGCAAGTTTATATACTAGATCAAATACATATATTTTGTTTCATGGATTCAAAAGGATACATGTTTGAATCATTAGATTTTGAGCTATATAAGTATTCTATGAGTGTTAAAGTTAAAAATAAAAACCATTAAACAGAATCCAAGTCTTATTATGATTCAAATGAGTATTGTGAGCCAATAATAAGATTATCAAAAGTATAACCAAACATAATCCAATAAATCTTACAAGAAGGATGCACTTAAGCAATCTTAATAAAGACACAATTGCTTAGTGAAATAATTCACTATTTGATATTTTGGCAATTGGATCAAGTGCAAGTGAAAGATTGCAGGTGTATGTGCCCTCGAGCCAATTAGTTGGGAAGAACTTGAAAATAACATGTAGGCATTTGTTAGAAAAAAAATTCATTAATATGGCTCGTTATGAGAACTCCATTCGGTATATCACTTAAATGTCTTTGGAAACTTTCTAATGTTAGTTGTTTGACTAGTCCTTAGACTTGAGACATTAAATCATCTTATATGTGAATCACATACTTTGATTTGACCTATTCGAGTAAAGTGCTTGATGCCTAAAAAGGGTACTTTTAGGTATGGTTTGAAAGATGAAAAGCTAGATGAGTGGTCAATAAAGGATTCATCATCCCAAGTGATATGAAGGGACATATCTTATCTATTCTTGGCTTTAGTTAACTTATAAATATGAATTTAGAAGAAAGAATTTCTTGCTAAATTCATAAATGTTAACTAAAAGCTTCAATAACTAATATGAAAGAAGCTCAGAGTAGATATTGAATTATACTTATGGTTTTTCAAGATATATAATGGAAAGACTGAACATTGAAATGTTAGGTTCAGACTATCTTGACTCCAATATTTAAGTGGTTATGATCCATTATTAGATATCGCTTTTAATCTATGAATATAAGTTTTTTATCTTTGATAATTGGGCTTATGTTCATTCCAACATATTAGAAGTCTACTAAGTTACACATGTAAGGTAAAATTTTCAAATTAAAAGTTAGGGATTATTCAAATTAGTGTAAAAAACAAAATAAAAACGAGATAAAAGTTAGGGATTTTATTGAAAAGGTGTAAAAGTTGCATCTAATTATGTTAGGATTGAAAAGCAATAAAGTCATTTAATCGACCTCTTATGCTGCTACCCACCAAGAGATAGACATATGACAATTGAGAATTGCAAAAATGAAAGAGGACTTGTAGAAAGACATAATTTCATAGGATTTTAGCCGCAAGCCATGTTACTTCCAAGAAAAATTATTTTTCTTTCTCCTATTCGATACCTTGATGTTTTTCGTTAAGATGGGAACTGGTTTTTTAATTTGTGAAATCAAAAACACACTTTACTGTAGGGGTTTAGGTCTTTAGTGGTGTTTTTTTCAACGTTTAGCGGCGTTTATAAATGCCTCTAAAATATTTATGGCATTTGCAAAAAATACCACTAAGAGTGTTGGCCATACACGCATCGAAAAAATAACGATGTTTTATATAAAATACTGCTATTTTAGCGATGTTTGTATTGAAAAAACATCGCTAATTTAGTGGCATTTGTACTCGAAAAACCTAAAAAATGTTCAATATTCTTTCTATAGATTATTGAAGGTATTTTTCTACCGAAAATGCTTTCAATATTCTCTCTCCAATTTTTTTAAATGGATTAGTGAAGGCATTTTTGCTTAGAAAATGCCTTGAATAATTCCTTCAAAAGCCTAAAAAATGTTAAAGGGATGGATCGAATCTACGACTTTCTGGTTAACAACCGTATGATCCTTAAAATTTGATAGGATATTTATTGAAGGTGTTTTTTTAATAAAAAATGCCTTTAATAATCACCTACATTTTTTTATAAGGGATTATTCAAGACATTATCTGTAAAAAATACCTTCAATAATCCTCTATCTATTTTTATAACATGATTATACAAGGTAAAAATGCCTTCAGTAATCACTTCAATTTTTTACACAGGATTATTCAAGGCGTTTTAGTTAATAAATGCAGTTAATTTTTATCTTGGGTGGCATTTATAAGTAAAAATATCGTTATTTGAATATTTAGTGGCATTTTAATAATAAATGCCTAAATTTTTATAAAAACACGGAAGCTAGCGACATTTGTAAATAAAATGTCGCTACAAAACTATCACTAATCTTTCATTTTCTTGTAGTACTTACTAGTACGGATTAGAATCTTGACTTCAGAAAGTTTCAGCAAAAGTAATTGTGTGGACCATTATCGGAGGCCAAACACTTAAGTGACATGAGTCTTGATATTTTTCAATTTCAAGGACAAGCAAAGGCTAATTCAAGTCTTGATTACAATATCTTAAGTTCTTGGTACGATTCTAATCAAATGTGTGCTTAATATGTTTTAAAATTATAAACATAAACACAAGTATAATCTATAGGGTATATTCAACTATTATTTTATTTTGTCGCAAGCCTTTGGTCTAGTGGCTAAAGGCGTTTGAGGGGACATCAAGGGTTTAGTTTCGAGCCAGGCCTCCCCCCTCACCCTTTCTTGTACTAGGGCTTTGCATTCCTGATATAATAAAAAAATTATTATTTTATTTTCTATTATGCAAAGTATTTGATACATGCGATGTATGCTCTTAATAATTATTATATGTATAATGCCGAATATTACCAAGAATTTTATCCCTAATCTCTTTTTCCTTGTAATTTTTATCGTCATGCTAACCAAAACAAAAGAAAAATAACTTTCTTTCCTCTTTCCTTGTTTTCTTTCCCCACAATTTTTCATTCTCTCGATTTTCTTTCTTCCTTATTAAACATGGTGGTTGTTCATCCAAGGGCCCATGCATGCATTGCTGTAGCATGTAGTCTTGTAACATACATGTGACCACATGAACCTAAGATTATACGTAACATACAGCGAAAAGACACTGAAGAGTGCAGTGAAGGCAACAAAGCAATGCTCCCAAATGCCAAAAGACAATTTTCCGACATATCAAGTGAAGCAGTATACACCAAACTTGTGCCATGCTCCTCGTTTCCCCACCTTCAACACTCTATTACACTCGCACACCTCCATTTCAGTGCATCATTAGTATTATATAAAATATTCCATCCCGCAGAATGTCTCATTTTCTAATGCAACTTATAAAACATGATTCTCATGAGGAGGAGCCCCTGGCCCCTCTCCGTCAGGTCCCAACGCCATTTCTCTAATCTCAGTCTGAAGACAAAGGACAAATTTTCATTTGGTTGACACCCTCCCAACCCCTGGTTTACGACGCCATTTACTTCCTTTTCTAGGCATGTTTCAGCTGTTAGGCTTTTCCATTTCATCAAAGAGAAAAACTACAAAACGAGACTGGAACATTGTAAAAGGCAAGTATGAAATTCCCGATGAACAGTTTTGTTTTGTTTTGGTTTTTTTTTTTTTTTTTAAAGTTATGTTTGCAATTTTCTTTTCCTCTATTTCCAACGTCAATTATTGGGGGGAAACCCCATACCGCTCACGGGCCCGCTACAGCTTTCAGCTAATTTTTTAGGACTTAATTTGAAGCCGATAATATTTGCTGTATTTTACAGCTAAGGATTCCAAATCCAAAGTAATTGACATTTTTAACTATAAACATTAAAGCATTAAAATGAAAGAGAGAAGCTCTTGACTTTTGCAAGATCGATCCTACTAGGACAGAGAGATGTCTGTTGTATGTTGAAACAATGTTCATGTACCAGGACAATCCCCCATGTCTTACCTCACTTTCAAGTGATTAAAATATATGACATTGTTCTTTCTATTAACATTCATTTGGTGATTGGATGACTCGATACACCCTTTTAATTGATTAAAATATTTGAATGATAAAATTAAAAAAAAAACTGTAAAGAGGCAAAGCTGTTGGGGACATCAAACATCCCATACCCAAAATAATAACTCAATATTTAATAAATAAAAGAAAAAGAAAAGTTTTTCATTTCCGGGACAATAGCATGTAAAATGCATGCAATTTCCATGTTGAAAAATCCTCAGAACAGAAAAATACTAGATTGATACTATATAAAATATAATTTCACGCGAATTTAACCTAATTAATTTGAATCTAAAATATTATTTAATTTTTTAAAAAATATTAAATATGACCAATCTTGATATAAAATCATGCAAGCTTTAACTTTTAAGATGCAGTTGTCAAAAAAAAAAAAAAAATGATATGGTAATGCCACCACTTTTTAAATGATCAGTTGACTGATTTAACTTAACTTCCATGGTTGTCTTCGGAAAACTATCAACCTTTGACTTCATCTTAATTTTCTTATTAAGCTTGAGTGATTTATCTTAATTTTTCAAAATGAGCTTAAATTAAGAGCTCATTTTACTGTATAGGGGTTAAAGTCCACCGTTTTTGTGCTACTTGGGCTATATATAATATATTCCGGCTCTATCATGTTCTTTTTTTTTTTTTTAATTATCAATGTAGCCTTGTATTAATTCTTTCTTAATAAAATTTAATATTGCTCTAAAAATGTTAATGAAAATTTAAAAATTTTATAGGCGGTGTACGAAATAATAATTAATTTATGAATTCTAATTGGGTTTAGGTTCTATGAAGTCCATAATTGCTTGTAAGTACTTCATATCTTACCATGTTGCTATGTTGACATTAAATTAATTTCTGTGTAAAAATGCTCAAGTAGGGAAAAGCCTTTTTAAGTAGCATAAGGAACGTATTATACTAGTTCAAAGTGGCAAGGGAGAAATTAGTAATTACAAACTCTCTCTTTTCTTTATTATTTCTTATATATTTTCTTGCTCTTGTATTGTATCCTTCAAGAGTAGTATTACACAACTCAGAGTAATAATCAAACCAGAAAATAAAAAAATATATACAGGGGCAGACAGGAACATGTAAATAGCCTGCCTAGCTAGGCCTTCTTGGTAATTATCCAAACCTCCCATCCCATTTTCAATATTTATATACATATATACAGTGTCAAATAGAAGTAGCTTTTGAAGAAGAGAGGAAAGAGAGATATGGAAAAAGAGTATCCACATGATCTTTACAAGGAGTGCTTGAGAAACCATGCAGCCAGCCTAGGCAGCTACGCCACCGATGGCTGCGGTGAGTTCACCCTTGACAAAACCTATCCTTCAACCCTACAATGCGCTGCATGCGGTTGCCACCGCAATTTCCACCGCAAAGTCAGCCATTGCAGCAGCAGCAGGAGTCGTGGGGATCCAGAAAACACCGTAGAACTGATTGCTTATGGAGATGGTGGCGGCAGCGGAGGAAAGGGGCCAGTTACGGTGGAGTCAACCAAGGCAGCAGACAGAAGCGGGAAGAAGCGGTTTCGGACGAAATTCACGACGGAACAGAAGGAGAAGATGTTGGGATTTGCTGAAAAGTTGGGGTGGAAGCTGCAAAGGAGAGACGAGGAAGATGAGGTAGAGAAGTTTTGTAGAGCAATCGGGGTGAGTAGGCAAGTCTTCAAGGTGTGGATGCATAACCATAAGAACTCTTCCTCCGCTTCGTCTGTGTCTACTTACAATGCATCTTCTCTTACAACTCAATAGAGAAATCCGGGATCTCATACTTAATTTTCTCTATCTTTTTGTAATTTATGTTAATCCTCTTTCTTCATTTTGGTTCATGTTGGGTTATATCCTTTTTTTTTCTAGAAAGTAAACCATTATATTAATATATTTGTTTTTCAGTTTCTTAAAGGTATATAATTTGTGACCATTCGCATTTCCCAAAATATTTGGTCGGAAGATTAATCCAATGGATTATAACTTTCTCGATCTATATCAACTGCTGTTCCTATATCTAAAATTTATATTGCTTTAATAAGAACCAGCGATTGTTTCTCCTGTTGCTCCCTCGCTGCCCCTCTCCTCGTGTTAAAAATACAAAAGAAAACCGATAAAAATGAATTAAAATAAAAAGATCTACTGCATATAATCCTAGCATGTTCCACTATACAATATTCACCTAAGTGTTAAACGAAAGTGTTAAAGATGTCAAGTTAAGGTTCACCGTGTGGGAGAGTTCATGAGCAGGGATAGCAATCCAAGCAGGTATGCTCAACTAGTGATGGTCAAGTTAGGATGGAAGTGTGTGTGTCGGTTGTTGATGTGATCCTTCAAGTGCAAATAATCCTTGCCTGCAAAGCAAGCAAGTGGTTAGAAGGGCACTAGAGGTGGTCTTCTAGCGCACACTATGACATTCAGGTCGAATCGGAAGATAAGGCATTGAAGGCATTGAACGTATGATATGGTAAGGAAAAGCATGGTAAGGTGATATAAATAGACTTAGGGTAAAGTCTAGAGAGAGAGGTGTAGTTCTAAAGAAATAGAGTTTAGCCATCCAAATGATGGTGAAAAGTCCTCCATGCTTTGAATAATGCCTTTGTCTATAGAGAAATAGGTTGTTGGATGAACACAGCCCTCTTCTTGAAAGCCAACAAGGGCTAGGTAAAGGGGCACCATCAAGTGATCAAGGGACTAGTTTCAGGAAACGGCATAGAATGGAATGTGTGAAGCATCTAGCTAGCCTGACAGTTAAATCAGAGTTCCTGACAGTTAAATCAGAGTTCTTGACAGGTCGGGTTCCCTTCAAAAAGGGGCTTCGTAGCTGACGCCAAGCACAAGCTACTTATTTCGACTGATTCCTTTTCTATTATCAAATCTGGAGTTTGAACATCTGCTCACTCGACGGTATGGTGGATAAGAGGTAATCAGAGGCCAGCCAGCAGCCTTTAGCCAAAAAGGCATAATAAAATAGTGACATGAAATGGAAGGGCTCGAAAGCAAGAAAAGGTTCCGAAGTGAAGCCCTTTGACCCAGTGCTATCTATGTTAGGGGACTGGTTGAATGAAACCATATCTCATAGGGAATAACTCGTTCCAGTACCGCTACCACTTCGAGTGCGAGAAGGAAGCCTGATGAAGAAGATTAATCGTCTGGGAAAACCTGATCTGGTAGGGAAGACAGACCTTAGATGTCGAAGCTACTGACTATTGGTATTGGCTTCAGTGTCAGCAAAGTAAAGCAATCAAAAATCAAGAACGATAAAAACATTGACACTTTTTCTTTTATAGGGAGCAATGTAACCAAGCCCAAAGGCCCAATGTACAAAACAAATTATCTGAAATCTCCTCCAACTAAAAAGATTTTGAAAAGCTAAGCTATAGTATCATGAAGGGCAAGTAGGTGAAGTATGTCATGAGTCAGCTACTCACTTTTGACTTTCATAGATTAGAGATTGGACCATCTGGATTGGAATGGATAGGTGAATTCACCCAGAAATGCTAGCACTTCATCATCTTCTATTGAAGGTTGGGGCTGAAAACAAAAAAGCAAGAAAACTAGAGCATTGATTTGCTATAGATTTGATCTCCCCTTTCTTCTTTAGAACACGATCTCATCGCTCAAGTCCTCCTCAAGCCCTGTGTCAGCAGAAAGCCGAAGCAAGGGAACTGATTGATCTACAACTTCATGGCCTTCAAGCAATGGCTTTGGCAACAAGATAATCTAATTTAAGCAATGTTCAGATTTTGATGTTAAGATTGGTACAATGGGTGAAAAATTTTAGAAGTAAGGTAAGAGTCTCCCTTTTTTATAGCCCGGAGACGGGACTACTCAAGCACTTTAACCGATGCGTGGGCTTGACCAATCTCCTCTACGCTTACTTCGATGCCGAATCAAAGACTGAATTTTGACTGGAAATTTGTAAAGAAAGCAATCAAACAAGGAAGAATGGAATGTGTGAAGCATCTGGTACGTGAAAGAGGTTTAATGTGCCCTAGCCGTTTGAGATGAAGAATGATACTAGGTGAATGGAATGGTCCTAAGGATAGAGGCTAGCCAGTTCCCATTCATCCAGTTCCCTTTTTGGAGGTTCAGTGCTAGGGCTTGAGTTCAAGTTGTAGTTACATTCCATGCATAGGATGTTTTAAATTACGGGTTTGATACATTTCTAGTGGAGTTGTACATTCCAATAAAGTCTTTCCTTTATATAAAAGACAAGATTTCAGTGAACATAATCTAAGCTCCCAACTCCATGAATTTTTCATGGTTACTTTTAACCCAGCTTTCAAGTTAGCTTGGGATGGAAGGCTATGAAATAGATGAAATCAAATGCTAAATTAGAGACAATAGATCTAGTATCTCTTATAAAGTAAAAAAAAGAAAGCCAAGAAAGTCGAAGGAGAAAAAAACCACTATTTAGTTTAGATCCAATTAGAATGGGCATACACTTTCTTAGGTCTAACTAAGATCTAAATTAAGAGTAAAGAAATGCCCTCATCATTTTGACCTTTGGGTTATATACCATAATGTTATAGTTGTATTTCCCGTATTTAAACCTTTCACTTTTGTACGGTAAACAAGATGTAGTATTACTTTCTTTACCCTTACAGGTGGATCTAAGAGAGAGAGGGATTATTATGCCCGTGTTGTATTAAAAACTGTTTACGCGTTGCAGAGAATAGCGAGAGAGAGAGAGAGAAGACATAGTTTCTGTGATCAATTTACGATAATAGTCAGTGAGTGAATGCACTTTAGGTAAGGGCACGATCAAACAATGTCTTTTAGAGAGAGAGATAGGAGCCCTTGATAGGAAGGGCCTTGTAGGATAGCATACTTAATAAGAAAAACATAGCAAGTGGACCTAAGGTAGGATGTATAAGTGGATAGCTTCTTATGCATCTAACAGGGCTTCGAAAGGATAAGCCCTTAGGCGGTGGCTGCTAAACGCCTAGCTGTCCGGGCAGTCTAACTAAAACCCTGTATTAGTACCAAACCAGTGAGTGAACCTTGGGTAAGGTTCACCATTGAATTACTCCAACATGGTTGAGTGATAAGGGAGTTCTCGGTCAGCCAACACCTCCCCAAGCTCCAGCTTCTGATCTACCTCGGCCACCTCTATAGGATCGGGTGCCCACTAGAGATGATCCTCAATCGAATCCCATAAATTACAAGAAAACCTTCCTCTAAGACATACGAACATTCCTTAAAAATAGCTCTTCTACTCAAAAATAGAAACACAATGTTTCAAGTATGGTATGAAATCTTTATAATATATATGTTGAAGAGGCTAAAGGGTTAGAAGACAAAGGAAAAGGGAAGACCACGAAATCTAACACACCTTGAATAATAATTTTAAGCACTTCTTTTTTTCCTTTACTGTGAGTACATACATCAATTATCATTCATGAACATCCTAATAGACTAAAGCTATATTGATATCCATATAAGAGTCAAAAGCTGACCTTACTGCATTTCCAATCCACAAGTAAAGCATCGAATGAACACTAAAAAAAGTGGAAATATCCTCATAAACTATAATAAAAGGCCTCTAAAACTTTTAACTCATCATATGGCTATGCTTATGCGCGAGAACTTGTGTACATACAATCATGAAAGAGTATTTCAAGATTGAATTCCTTTGTCTTTCCTTCTGATTTACCCTTAGAGGGTCATGTATAGGTCACATTTCAGAAAGGCCAAATGAAGTCCTTCACTTACTTGTGTGAGCCCTATTTTCACTATGTTCTTCTTTTAGTACTTTTCATTAGCAATGAGATAACCACTCAGGTAAGTTTATCTCTAAACCATGAAACTAGTGATGTAAAAAGATAGAAAATGGCCTAGGTGTAGCTTGTTGGGCCAATAATAGGCTGGCTAGGCTCTAGTTGAAACCATCCCTAACATTCAATCCCTTTTGATTGAAAGTAGGAATTGGTTTCAATCCTTTTCGTTGAATAACACTAGACTTGGCATTTGAGGAGCATGCGTCTTTGTATGATGAAAGATTTTACAACTATTCCCTTTTTGTAAGCATCCATTTAATCACATCATGCTTTAATCGTAGATTTTAAGCAATGAAAGGTGTGTGACTACCCTTTTACTATGTTCAATAGGTATACGCTTTTCTTCTATATGATTTTGTTATTAAATACATCCATTCCTTGATGATGTTTAAGTATTCGATATTCCAAGTTAAGTTTAAAAGCTTACTTTTAATATTCTTGTTGCCTTCAGAGGTAATCTTTAGTTTTGCATTTACATATAAAGATGATGAAGCTGTTGCTTTCTGTTCATATGCTTAAAGGACAAACATTCTAAGTTGTTGTTTGGTGATGTTCTAGTCATTTGGTAGGCTTACTCCTTTTTTTGAGACATTAAGTAAAACTTTTGGTGACTTTACTTGGGCATTTGCTATCACAAAGAGATGTACTACCAATTTTACTACAATTTATGATTGCTATAGGCAATCACTTTGAGGTTTTGTCTGCCAAATTTTTTGCATGAAATGGTGGTACACCTCTTTATGCTTTATAATGATGAAAGTGCCTTTTTCTAAACCTTGGCTTCCTTGATGACTTAGTTTTATTTGAACTAGTCATGTGAAGAAAGCTTTGTGTTGACTTATCTTTGTGCTTGGACTTTGCTACCTTTATCTTAATCATTTTGTTACTTCTTCGTTTGGTGAGTGATCATTTTTTGGTTTAAGTAAGTGGCCAAGTGTTAATGTTGTTGTAGGTGGTCGAACTTTGGAATAAATGTCGAGTTAGGTTATTGGCTTATACCATGTTCTCTTATATATCGAGGTAAGTAAACTTTTTTTGTATTCTCATA